TCGTGGTCATCCCTATTTAGTCATTCATCGAGCCTCCACCGATCATTGCTCGACCTCGGGACGCGATAAAGCCCATCTTCTTCACGCAACCAGCCCGTCTTCTCCGCACGCGTCATCCTTCTCCTACATCAACGTGAGACAGCATTGTGGATGACCTTCACGGCGAGGCACGTCATCTTCCTCACGGCACACTTCATCCTCACGCTCCGACAGACACTCCTATTTCACGGCAATGCAGCATCATCACCATGTCATTCACGCTACCACGCCGCGAGACCTCCACCACGGCGCTGCGACAACACCTCTCACCGCTCAGACCTGCACCACGAAGCTCACGGCCAGAGTTGCTCCCGTCGCGCCGCAAAGCGCCGGCGCGCCGCGGTACTCTCTCCCAGCACGCCGCAGAAACCTACTCCAATCTTTCTCCATCACGCCGTGGCAGACAGGGTCCTCGCGCCGCGCCGCCATGTCACGCCGTGAAGAGGTCGTCTCTCGCGCCGCGGTAAGCCCGCCATGCCGCGGCAGCCTGCGTTATTTCCCTGCTCCACCCAGACTTCAAGGCCGCGGCCGCGGCGATCAAAAGGGTCCCCAGTTTTTTGGACTTCAGAGAATAAATTCCGCGGCCTCGGAGAGCAGCCACGGCCGCGAGACTTACTTCACCGCGACCACCAGATAAGTCGCGACCGCGGACTGTGCGCTTAACAGATTTTTAGTTTCAGATTTTTGGAACTCGTTCATTATTCATTCTGCAGCCTAGGTTTTTAATTAATTTTCGTTCCTTAGCTTAAGAACTGGTTTTTACCTTTTCTTTTCTTATTCTTCGGACGAGAACACGGATTTGATTTCAGAATTCGCTATTTCTTGGATTCAAGCTTGTTTATCGGATTAAACATTCAATTTTCATTAATTGTTAGTTTTTCTTTTGATTTAATCAATGGATGTGTTTGCTTCGATTATGATGATTAATGTTGTTAATTCGATCATGAGCGGCTAAATTCACATGCTAGGGAATAGGGGATCGAGGTTTTGATTTCGATTGCGATTGTTAGAGCTTGTTGATTGTTCGTTTCATACGAGTTAAACTTTTAAAAGGGATTTCTAATTGTCGTTCTTGAATATTGAGAATTGTCGAAGGGTGACACTTCGACGTGCAATTGTTTTCAATTGAATTTGATTTATTCGAGTTTGATGTTGGTAATTCTGTTTGGTTAGTCGGTTAATCACTTTCTAAATTTAATCGACTCTTAGAACCGAAAGGGGATGTGTCGGTTGAAATAGGCTCGTATGGACTAGGCTTGTTCGTAGCTGTACTGCCTAGGCGTTAAATGAATTGTCAATTTGTCGTTCAAGCTTGTTCTCTTGTTACGAATAGTTATTGAGAACGAATACTTGAACGATAGGTTATTCAAGTCACTTAATCGAACAATTACTTGCCCGATAATTGCATTTCGAACCAAAACGGATATCCCCGATTCCCTAGCCCTTCAAATCCTGATTATCTACGTGTTAAATTGTTATTTAATCTGCTTTATTTTATTTTTTGTGCTAGTTGATAATTAAAACCAAACCCAATCATTTGAATTAGTATGTTTAGGTATTTTATTCTTTTTCGTGATTGAATAAACGTACACTATATTCCGGCTAACCTTCCTCGTGAGACACGACCCGGTGTTCGAATCTTTAGATTTAACTCCAGTAAAAATACTTACAACACTATGTGCAACTCGTCTTAATCGTGGTCCGGGTTCGGCGTGGCTACTCGGGGCCAGCACGAACACTGCTAACACGGCTTAGCTAATGCACTGGTTTGAAATGGTGCCATGGTCACTGACGCAGGGGCGTGCTTGGACCACGGCTAACGGAAGATATCGCGTTGACGGTAGGTCGGAGGGATGCACGGGCATTGAACAGAGCGCAGGGGCGCGACTCGGTCAGACTCGGTGGCTCGGCTCCAACGGTCAGACGAGAGTCGAATACATGTGCGGGACGAAGATACGCATTAAGGATTAATTCTATGACGTCTAAAGTTGTTTAACCGGAACTAAAGTTCACTCTATTAAACTCAAATCTAAAGACTACCCGATTATCGGAACCGGATAAAACTAGAGTTTTCAATTCTCGAAAAACTTAACTTATTTTAAGACGATAATTGAACACTAATCTTATGTGATTTATGATGAATTTATATTCAACCACTGCAGCTAAACTAAACCGGAACTAATTTTCTAAAATTATCGCAATATACGACCTAAGTCCCGGTTTATTATCCCTACCAAACTACATCAAAAAAATCACAAAATCTAAAACATAACATCCCCAATATACACATGATTTATGGTCAAACTATAACATTCAAATTCAAATCCTAATCTATTCAACTAAAAACAAGCATTAACCGGTCAAACACATAAAAATTGGTTCGCCTATCAAACGAACTCTAAAAATTTTTCGATTTACACATAAGCCTCAAGACAATTTAATATGATTTATAAAATTAAAATCACGATTTTATCTAGATAATGTGATAAAAAATTAATCGCTTTAAGCTCGTAAAATATCGATAGATTCAAATCCTCAATTTATCATTTTCATAGCATCTCATTAAACATATCTAAGCTATTCGAGTTGGATTCAAGCCGTTTTACCTCAAATCTGGCTCAAATAAAAAATCGGAAAGTCAGGAAGGCTAGG